TGCAGCAGTTTGAGTCAAATATCGGGATTATGCGGTAAGCACGCATCTGATTCATGAAACATGTTCGACGCTAACCGGTTTGATATTACTCGAAGAGGGTAGGAATACCGAACTTAAGATTCGCTTCTTCAAGTACCATGAGAGTTAAGTGAAAATTGTGAGAAGGAAGTCTCAACCATACTGCATGAACGATCCTCGCATCAAAGGAAATAATGAAAGTTCGTAAAGACTGGAATGTGGATCTTCCTTACACTTACATGATGGAGCAAATAATAGCACTCTTCTTTTCATGAAGTTGATGGTGGCGGTGCCGATTTCTATTTCCATGTCATCAGCCACGAATGCCTTATTTTGAAGGCAGAATCGACCGCAGCTATGTGACTAGCGCTGTTTCTAGTCATCTGTCTGAAAAATGGTACTCATTTATCAACTTCGGCGAGTGACCCAGACCGGAAGCTGAAGCCGACGTTCTAGCGACTGAGCAAAACCGGTCTGAAGCAACGTGTGGCAAATACTTTGCTCAAAGAAACTCGTAGATAAACAAAGATTTCCCATCGCTGAATCAAACCGGGCGCCTTTGGAGCTGGAAGCTGACTTCTTACGCACTATATCACGAAGCCTCCTCATATAAACATATATATGGTGGCATCTACGTTCCTATGCTTCCTCAATATTTAAAAATATGACTTACTGTAACTTCTTTGTCTGCCTTACTGTCATTAAGTGAGCGGTTGCGTTGAAAGTGCCTGGAAACTAGTCTACCGTGACACACTGCAACTGATGTGATATTCGTACTGTAATTCACCGCCAGAGTTTGAGTGGACCGTCATATATGTAATGTCAGTGACAAATTTCCTCCAAATGGAAAAACCGCAGAAGATGTAAATAATTAACCCCAATAAGGTGACACGAAATTAGATCGGCGATTACTCATCAAAACAGTCGGCAAGACTGATGCAAAGAGAACGAACACCAGTAGCCGCTAATTTGCGGAGTATCTCAGATATTGGTGAATAGCAGCTTTTTCATGCGATCTTCAGTTGCCAATGAACGTGGTCGTTTTCACGGAAGACAAATTGCGCGGGACGAAAATGAGAACGATTCGAACTGGTCAGGAAAATTAGTACGGTCAGCACGATACGTCATTTGACTTCTTCCGAGGTCTAAACGGTCGTAACCAAAATTTGCATCCACTAACTGAAACTTCATAACTTCGTCCATGGCTGGAACGGGATCGCTAACACGGAGGAGGGGGCGATTATCATTAAGGGCTCAAACAAGAAGCGATGGTTTGCGAGTTTAAGCACGAACAACTCTATCAACGATGACATCACGGCTGAATTGTTATAGGACATACGTCGAACCAGAAACGAGATATTTACTTTCGGACAGGTTGCAGGAGGACCGCCATTTAACATAATTGGCGGATTGGTATACATGTGGAACACCAAAAGACATCACAGCAAAGAATTTATTACTTACTACTCTTTACAACATCATCCTATAGGGCGACAGCGATGTCGGCATCCGCTTGCTCAGTGAAGCAGTATGCAAAACTGCAACGAAAGCAGTATTCCAGTTGAAGCCTGTAAAGACAAAAATGATTCAAGGAACCCAGAAAGTACTGTGGAACTGAAGGCATCCCGTACCATCGAAATAGTCTAGCAATTCAAATATCTGAGTTCCATCATCACCATGTACCGGAACTGTGAAAAGAACCTGAGCCGAAGAATTTCGACGGCATTGTTCACCTTTAAGCGCCTTACGAATATATGGACTCGAAGAAGAACACCAGTCACTATCATGGTCTAACTTTACTGCGCTGTTGTCAGACCAATCCTGCAATATGGACTGGAAATGGCTACACTCGCAAGAGCACGGGGCCATCGTCTGAACAGCCTACAACGTTGCTGGTTGTGACGGCTGCTGAAGATCAAGAGGTACAACCACATAAAAACGATCGAGTCTGGGAACTAACTAACGTCACCAATGCATCGAAGATGTTGCGAGACAGACGGCTTGTGTGCTTCGGCAACGAAGCGAAAAAGCCTTATGGCTCGTCATGTGAATACGTTGGAACCCTAACATGGACGGTGAAAAATCGGTGTTGAACACACTACAGGACAGTGGAAACTAGACGGAGATTTGCTTTCATCGAGGAATCTTTTCCTCGTCGATGCAGGCAAAAGCTCCAAATATCGACATGCAATAACTGAATATGAGCGAACATCACAAGTGTTAAGCACCTTGCATGTTTGCAAGAACACTAAAGATGATAATGACAAATACACAGTCCTTAAGTCGATAACCTTGGTTTTTAGGCATAACCCTTTAAGATCACCTGATCCGTTACATCAGTCGTTTTAACTATGTATGTGAAAGATAAACAAGTTAACTTTGTACCCGGTACTAAAAGATATAAAAAATCGCAGAACAATTATTCAGTCAATCAACGGTTTATCAACTTGTGCGGCTTAGTTGTTATCAACAAAAACGACCATCTTCAGACAGGATAGGCATGATGTACACAACGAAATACTGCTTAAGAACTAAAGTTGAAATTATTTAAAATGAAGGATTTCTACGTTTCCAGGTCTCTCAGAGCACTCACGGATTTAGTATCAGTCCTAATGATATACGTATGAAAACCTTACCACTGTTGGTGAAAGTCACGTGTTGTGCACTGCTTTTATTTACTTTTAATTCCCTTGAGCAAGAAATTCGCCCCACTATGTTTCTAAGCAACCAGCCGAGAAATGCATAAAAAGTCGTTGACCTGCGAGCGATTGGTAGCATGGCGTTTCGAAGTGGTTTGGTCAGTACGGGGGCGAGACGAACGGCAACTCTGTCTTGTGACTGCAAATCGTACCTGCTATCCTTGCTGACTAATATGCAGCACAAAGCGTATGCCATGAATAAGGAATAAAGATTTTGGGTAGTTTGATCAAAGTTCGATTTTTTTCCCCAAATGTTTAAGATAGCTTCAAACGTTTTTTAAAGAATGTTCAGTATTTTGATTGTGCGTGGGTTGTTTTACTAAAAA